TGCTTATTCGTCAGACCTGGGTCTGCTTATTTCGCAGCTAACCTTCACTGAAGGTCGTCCCACTATCCGCCACCTGTGGACGCGCCGGGTAGCCAGCAGCTAGGCTAACGGGCAACCCGTCTTCCCGGGCAACCCGTCTTCTATTTCTTACCAACTACCTCCTGAAACTCGCATCTTCCTTACGAGGCCTTAGACACTGAGCCATCCTTTCCCCTGCAATTTAATTTCAAGAACAGGTTGCACTTTTTCTCGATAGAAGCTTTCTATTGTCCTTCGTCTTCCCAGCAGTGGTTTCATAAGCAATTTCGCTAGGATCACTTATTGCGGACTGCGTCTTTTTGAGGATCAAAATAGCCGTTTTGCCGTCGGATCTCTAGATGAAAATATCGGCATCTTTATGGGGATCATTAGAGGCCAAGAAGCGTTGTTTAGCCAAATGTGGATGTTGAGTGACGGGGTTGATTTGGTACTGATATGCGTCGGCGTCTAGTCTGGTGGTTGACCATGCAGTTCTTCAAACTGATCGTTCGTCTCCGTCGGATCTATTTTTCGTCTCCTTACACCGAATTTTGGGCCAGGCATGAGCTTTTGCACTTCGACTACTAAATCGGACTTGTTGAGGACGTAATCATCTGACCCAAGGGAGGAGGATTCGCCCGTTAATTGTTTAATTAACGACTGAGACTGGCAGGTTCGCTTGAACATGCAGACATAGCGCGTACTTAATGAGTGTTAACTAACAAACAGAGTTCACAGCATTAAATACATACCTTGACTGACCTATCGCAGACCAAAATAGTGTATAATTAGACTCCTGAGCTCGCAAAAGGATCGGTTGACCGAGATTTTCACGTATTGGGCGTGTCTCATATCACCAAAGAGACTTGTCGCGGTAGAGGGAGCTCACCGATCGTGTTTCGAGACCTACTCGTCCCTTTGAGTTTGGTGCCTCGATCTGAAGCTCCGTAGGCAAACGCACGACTACTAATATATGCAGAAAACGGTTACCGACAAAGACAGTGGGGACTGGAATGGACATTTCTGGCTGATGACGGCCAATAAATCAGAAATTACCACTTCAATCTCCCCTGTCTAGGTCAGTAGTCGTTCTTTGCGTATATTAGTAATCTTGATACGTTTGTGGAGGTGAATTAGATTCCCTCTACAAAACTGGGGGAATTCTAAGAGGGTCTTTTCTCAAAGATTCTGCAATCTAGTTGCGCAAGTTGATATGACATGACAGTTCGAGATCGCCGTTAGCAACAACTGCCAGCGTGTGTCCCGCGGAGCGAACGCAGCACCAGTGAATCGTGTGTGAATTAGCTTATAGTGAGGCATATTTGCATAGTATTTACCATTCTCTCTCTTTCTCCTCCCTCACCCACCATGTTCCACTGGCAAGACAGTGTCAAGACAACTGGATGTGGGCTCGGAACTAGTGGCTGGGAAAGCCATACAGTCCGTCTACGCGCGCCACGCACGACCTGGTGATCACCACATGTACGAGTCCACTGCAAGGGCGGCTGAAATCTAGTGTTCGTGGAGTTGTCATACTGACTACACTAAGAAGCAATCACCAAGCCTGATTCCCTGTCCTCGAGCCAGTCGTCACATGTACACATACAGTATTGACCACGACGATCGAGTTATCCAGCCAGCTAGCAGCCTTCTAAGTCACGACGTGCTGACCTAGTGACATGAGTCAGGAGACACTCTTTTGGGAATTCGAAGCATTCTCACCACAGAGCAAGGATTTCGGCGGAGGCTAATATTGTTTGAAATTAAATAGGCTCCGGAATTTGGTATAGCTAGTACATGCTGCATCAGTCGCAATGCTGGCTTGTCTATATTTGCTCTACAAAAAGAATATGCCATATAAAACGACGACAAACAAGACCGTGCAGGATCTGACGACGCGCGTGATTCACGCGCAAGACAGACTATACGGTCTTATGACAAACTCCGATCGATCCTTTTATGCATTTGGGTAGACGGATTCAAACTTCGGCGGGCGGAGGCATACAGGTTGCAGAGTCGTTCCAAGTCAGCGCGAAAGCAACCTACGCGGTCTGAAAGGGGTACGACGGTCCGGAGGTATCTTCGCATGCCAAGCGTCCATACATCTGGATTTTATAAGATTTTAATCGCGCCAGCCTCCCGCGACGTCGCGGATAGCTCCCTAAGTCCGCGAAGATCTGAGACAATGGATCATATGACGTGGTTCATTTTGCCCAGATTGACAAAGTGAGATCCGGATTGATGGTTTGAAGAAAAAGCGGGCTCACCGGAACAGGTTTATTTAGGTGCTGACGTTTCGGAGAGCTTAGTCGGCTCCTCAGTGTCAAAGCGCAAAGTGTACTTAATCGACCAAAAATTTCAAGTGGTATGTCACGTTGGTCGGCCTCATGCTGATCGATTCTTCTCTTCTGTCGCTGCCTCGGCATCCCGGGGGATGGGTGGCGGGCTTTTTATCGGTGTGCGTTGTGAGTCACCGTTTCGTCGAGTGGTCGGGCTGGTGGTTCTTCTTCCTTGCCGGGTAGACTCGTCATCAGCCTGTCTATGTATGGCCTTCTTAAGTCCACGTCATTGCGTCCGTAGAGCTCAGGACCAAGTAACCACATTGGACTTTGTCGTCCTTACTCTGTCCATTCGACAGCAGTCTCGCCCCGAGGTATTTAAAACTGTCTACTTCTTCAAGTTGACAGCCATCAATCCCGAGGCTGCCTTTTCCTGGTCCGGGATGTAGCCTGAAAACACTTTAGCCTTCCCAGCGTTTATGGATAAACCGACTGATTTAGCGACCTCGTTCACCGGTGACACCATAGACTGCAGACCACCAAACCTTGAGGCAAGTAAGGCGATATCATCGGCATAGTCGAGATCAGTCAGTCGGTGTCCGGGTGCAAACTCAACACCATCACCCTCGCGTAGGGCCCTCCCGAGGATCCAGTCAATAGCATAGTTGAACAAAATGGGTGACAGGATACAACCCTGTCGAACGCCAGACCGAATACCGAACGGTTGGGAAAGATTGTTGCGGACCAAGACTCTCGCAGTAGTGGAGCGATAATAGGCCTTGATCATGGCGATTATTTTTGCCGGTGCACCATTTAGCGCCATTATCCGCCACAGGGACTCACGATGAACGGGATCGAACGCGGCGGCAAAGTCAAGGAAGCAGACGGCCGTCAGTAGTTGGTAGCTATGGCGAAATTCGAGAATGCGCCTCAGTGTGAATATCTGATCTGCGCATCCACGTCCAGCACGAAATCCGACTTGGTTGGGCCTCGTCCTTGAGTCACGCACAGCCTGGAATCGCCTGAGTAGGACAATAGCGAAGAGCTTCGCAGTAACGTCGATGAGACCTATGCCACGGTAGTTCTCGCATCTCGTCTTATCTCCCCTCACCCTGGTTGCAATGTCACTGCTGGTTCGCAACTGCTTACTCGTCAGACCTGGGTCTGCTTATTTCGCAGCTAACCTTCACTGAAGGCCCTCCCACTATCTGCCACCTGTGGACGCGCCAGGTAGCCAGCAGCTAGGCTAATGGGCAACCCGTCTTCCCGGCCGGTTGGTAAGCCAAGACTGTTTAAGAAAGACCGATAGGCAAAATGTGATCTCAACGCAGCTCTCCTAAGAAAGGATCCGGAACACCTGAACTGACGAAGGGTAAGCTACTAACCAAGACACTTATCCCGAGAACACAGAAAAACCTGATATGAGACACCCCCACTTTCTAGGGTCGTTCGGCCCCAATGGTATTATCGCACTCTGCAGAATTTCTGATCTTTTTTGATACGACAAGACAGTGTCAAAATCCTGAAGAATGAATGAGGTCCGTTCGATACCGACGGTTGCAAAAGATCCGAAAATCAGACGAGCTATAGACCGACCAGTCTGACTTCTGCGATGGGCAAGGGGTGTAAAGAATCCCTACTGATCTCCTACACGTCGCTCTGGAGGAAAACCGTCCACCTACGCACAAGCAAGCTGGGCCTCCTTCAGTCAGCTCAGACTGCCACGGCTCATCCGTGACGGTCTCTAAAAGAATTCGATGCAGTGTACGACACTTACGCTACTGGACTTCTCCAAGGCCTGTAATACTGTCCGACGAGATGTCTCGTTATGGAGGAGGAGGAGCGGAAAAGGCATCAACTCTTCCTTTACTTACTGGGTCCAGTCGCGGCTTTTTAGCAGGATCAAATTTGTCACCTCCAATGGGACACGAAATATGAAAGCGAGCTTCACATAAGAGGCCACACAGGGTTCGATGCTCTCGTCATTCCTCTCGTTGTTCTTGACCGAGGATTCACTGGGTGGCAAGGTGGGAACCACATCCGCCAGTCTCTTCACTGACGGAAATGACAGTCGAGGCATACGAGGAAATACAGGCCACAGTGGCGGCTTTCACAATGTAGAGGTGGAAGCAGAATTCTTAAAAGCCAACGTGGGTGAACACCTTTTCCTCCGAAATAAAAACACCCACGCGGCGCGATGGCAACCAGTAATGTCTTCTGAAAACTGGGCGTCACTCATTTTATCAACCCACGAATTCCTAGGCGTCACCTATGACCATCAGGTGGCGTTTTGAAGGCACGCCGATGTTGCCAGAAAGTTGAGGTGTCACCTTTAAACTGTTAAAAATGGACTGAGGGTGCGATTGCGTACTTCTTCGCAGCATTCATATCACAACGGCTCGGTTCGCGCTAAGAAATGTCGTTATAGTCTGAGTGCTATGGATGTCGAAAAATATAGAGAACCTGGAGAAAAGTCGACAGTTTACTGGGCGTGCGATTACAGGTTTATTTAGCGCAACCCCGAAAGAGGCCATTCTTTTTGAAAATCTCCCCTATCGGTGATTCAAGCATGTAAACCAAGACTCGTTGCCTTGGAAAACTCCACAGCCTCTATGACGCCAACTCTCCAAATGTAATTGAGACTCCACCGCCAACCAAAGAGGAAATAGGTTGACAAGGAAAGTCGAAGCCATGATGGACGTACATCTCTAACAGCCATGTCCCGCAGATACCGTCAAACTTTTCCCGCCAGGATGGAGATTAGTGGACTCACCACCGAAGACACCATTCAGCGTGAGGACGCTCCAGCTGCCAGTCAGCGTGCAGTCCAAGCCGTCTTATAATGACTGAATGATCTTTACGGATCTCTCTCGAGCCCCGCCAGCAGCGCGTAATATAGACAGAATAGGATTGCCGACAAAGACAAGGGAGACTGGAATGGCAGTTTCAGGTTTGTTGGCCGTCATCAGCCAGCCATACCCAACCTCGAGGCATACAACCCCTGCGGCGATCGGCGTGCGCCTCTTCACCATTGCTAATGCACCCGGTCGAAACCGGCAGGACAACGAGCCCGTGACTCAATGGTTCGGTCGTTGGACTTCCAACCAACAGATCGCGAGTGCGAGCCTCGTGGTTGGACATGGCTGGCTGATGACAGCCAGCAGGCCAGGAATGGTCATTCCAGTCTCCCTTGTCTCTGTCAATAATCCTATTCTGCCCATATTACGCGCCGCTGTGTGGTTGCTAGCGGGGCTCGACAGAGAGCCCCAAGGCACAACGGCACGAGTGAGTCCGGCAAGGCGATCAGTGCGCACCCCTCTACCAGATGCATCCTATAAATTACTGCACTCTCTGTACATCCACAACCCTGGTTAACTGTTACCCCTGACGGTGAATTCGAAACGCCAGGCGAGTAAAATTCTCGTTTCAGGAATCGATTCTCCTTATAGTCTCGAGAATCCATACAACCACAATCTAGTTAAAAACCGAAACATTCTGTTCGCCGAGGTACAAAATGTAGACTTCAATTTCTGGAAAAAAAACATTTGCAAGAAATGGGATGTTTGCGCAGCGTTTCTGTAAAATATTACTATATCTATGCAGGCATCGAAAATCAGTGCAAAGGTGGATGGAAACGCCAATGCCCACCAGCCGCCTGTTGGAGGACGAAATCTGACCTGATCGTTCGGTTCCGTAACAATCGCCACGAAACAAGGCTTTGTCATGGTTGTTTTACGTGGACGGCCCTACGTCCCCAACGAATCCGATATCACCACAAGGAAATGCGTACTTTTCACTAGAAGGCAGTTGACATGTCCATACACTGTGCAGTCCAAGGGGTCTAAATGACAATCACGAGCTTATTTACTGTAAAGATGGACATCAAAAGTGCAAACAAATTTTACTAAACAAATATGCACTAGAATCTCGGGGAAGTACAAATGCCGGTAAGCAATGCCTATTCCAGGGGACTCTGGGAAGCCAGCTTCAAAGCATCGATAAAGGCAGATCTAAAACAGACATAAAAAAAACCTTCAGTCTCTAGGTCGATAAGCGTCCTCCGAAAAGTAAGAGCTAAGTGGCCGGTCCTGGTCAAAGTACGCATAGGGCGATTGCGCATCGCTGCGACCGGTCTCGGCCTGGGGCTCCTGAAGAGCCGGAGGCTCCTCCGGTTTGGCATATGGATCCTGGTAAGTTTGTTCTGGACGTGATGTTTGAGGAGAAGGAGGGGGAGGAGCAGGATGATTTCGGAAGTATTCCCTCCTTTGGGCGTAGGTCATTGGCTGCTGGAGTTGCCTACCATCATCGACCGGAGTCTGTACGGCAATTGGCCCCTCACCGGGAGATCCACGGCCAGAGAATCCGGTACCACCGGCAGAACCCAACAACATATCCTTCACTCGACTGTTATCCAACTCCAGAAACATGCGTTTGCACTTGCCAATGTAGGATATCTTGCCACCAAGATAGCCACAGACGACAGCTATAAAATAGGCCGGCACGCGCATCCGCGGGCGACTGAGGAAGAAACCACGAGATTGAGCGGCAGCGACGGCCAGAGTGGCCCCTATAGTCATGGGGACGCACCCACCCCAGAAGGACTCCTTCCGGCAGCGCCTGAACGTGGCAATATCCTCTTGTGTTAAGTCCTCTCGCGAGGTCATTCTGGAGGACAGGAGTGTAAAACAGGGCTTAAGTTGAGCTGTAAGCCAAGGAAAGGCAAAGCAGGGGGAGAGGGGTGGAGTCAGAAACCGGACTTCATGTGATGCACGTTTTCGAGTTAAAGTATCAGCCTTACCAACGTGATGATCAAGAGCTGGAACAACTAAAATATCCACGTTGTGTCTGCAGGAGCTAACATGCATATGTTGCGCGTAAACGTGAGCTTAACTCCGTCAGTCATTGAGTTCACACATTGAAACATGGATAGGACGACAGAGTGAGAAAACCCCTACATAAGGCTCCTTTACTTAAAACCAGCTGACGGGCAAGTCACTACTACACCCTCGGGCCAGTAATGAGCCCCATCACTTGCGGCAAACGAACAATGGGTCTTAATTTATTCTGCACTAAAAGCCCTTCAAGATACATGGGTTGAGATGTTTCAATAAAACCTAACTGTTTTACTCAGAAAACAGAAAAATAGTGGCGGCACTCAAATCGGATCCACGGAAGGATCCTAGAAATCTACCACAGTGGGAAGTAAACATTAGCGAGCGTGCTCAGGCGCCGGAGGGAAATAAGGAGATACATAGGGAAAACTGGTTCGGCCAAATGACTGGAAAACTGAAGGTGATTTAAATGTCAAGGACCGCACTGACAGACGACGGAAAGACTCCGAGCCCGAAGCTGGCTTAGCTGTGCAAAATACACCATCATGGGGATGTGGTGAAAGGAGCTCAGGTCGATTCAAGACAGTAAGTAGACTGCAGGTTCAGACAAACAGAGCTAACCGAATCGGCGACGCATAGGCAGGTCGACCAGTTGAGTCAAACATATTTCTAATGATCGTCAAATAGATAATGTGCATTTTTAGCATAACAAAACCAGCTTAAGGCTGTAAACCACAGTGGCGACATTTAGACTCCAAAAAGCAGTAGCGGCGGGTCAGAATGCAGTAAGAGTGGAGAAATAAGTGAGCACTGTGATAAACTGGACTCCTGGCCCCATCTACTAGCTTTGCGGGACATTCTGGAATGGTTGAATACTGAGATAGAACGCAACTCAAGTCATTGAAGCCACAATTTACCTGATAATGCGATTTTGCACGACATAAACAGAAAATCAGTCGCCAACAAACCCGTTCGAATGGCTGCAATGTATGGCATCAAAGTTTTTGAGGTAAATTCCCTCGGAAACGGCACAGTCCGTTAAAAATCACGCACCCTACATACTGAATACGATCGGCATAAGACATAATGTCCAACTAGCAGTAGATAGACGTGTTATCAGAAAAATCAAGCCGATCTACTGTTTCATTAAAACTTTTTGACAACTGCGAATCTAGACAGAGAAGTGTGAGGCTTTTCGAACACTTGCTTGCCTTTTGGGTTAGGAAACTGGCCCTTAATTGTAGACTTTGGATAACAGCAGACAAAGCTACGGCGAAAAATGAAACAGAAATTTACCACAATCAACTTTGCATCAATGACGCAACAAGCCATCAGTAAAAAACCCTTGGGACAAATTGCCGAAGATGTACTAACTACTCAGCTATTCTAAGACTGAAACATTTAAAATTACCTTCGAATCGCCAGGGCAACAATAGTGTGACATGAAATGGATCGGATGAAGTCAGGGAATGAAAATGGCCTATTAGGTAGTTGAGACTGAGGTCACTGCAGCAATGTGGTTGAAATGAATGTAGAGAAGGCTAAAAGTGACGGACTACTTAATGGGTCCTCCCGAAGGTCGAAAAGCAGTAATCAGGTGAGAGCGTTGTCAGTGGCCCACGTTTTTAGGACAGTGACGCGTAGAGTAACATGAGTTAGATACTGAAAAAAAATCAGGAAAGTTAGACGTTGTTGTCTAGATATTAAGGCGGTTGGATATCGCGTTGCCTGTCTCAGATTGATAAATGTTTGTCAAACAACTTTGGTTAAAGAACTACAGGCTTTATGTGTCCTTTTTTGCCTGGTTGGTACTGAGATATCTAAGGTGGCTAAAACCGCGTGTGAGTAACAGCAGGGCAAATAAAGGCCTTGTTATCTTGCACAATTTTGCAGAGACAACTTAAAAGTCACTGGCCACTCGCCCAAACTGTTTGCCCGTTCTTTTCCGAAACCGCCTTATAAAATTGTCATCAAGGTGTTTAGGACTTGCGAAGCTGGTGCGTGCTCTGCTGCTCCGAGTCGGGGTTCCGTCCGATTACAAATGTGAGCCTTATACATCCGAAGACCTTTTTTCTTGAACCTAACCAAACTCCTCAAATTTTGCCCGCTAGCACAAGTAAAGTGGGCAGTGACCCCTAAATAGCAGCACTAAAGTCGTGGACCGATCTTTCCTTTTCATGTATATTCATGTGCAAATGCCGCATTGCAGAGGCACGGGGTGTTGAGATCTGTTTCCCTTTTTATCGCTGGTATTTACCAGAAGCGATTACAGAGTTTTCTCGGAGGCAATGGTCCTCGTCGCTTACTACGCACGAATTTATTAGACAGAACGACTTTCTTCACTTTAGTAAATCATTCAAGTACCTGGATGGCGTGTCGTCACAACAACTAAGTAACCGGGGGTGCTATACTCAGGTCAATAGGAGCGAAAATTCCACTTAGCCGCACGGAACGTGCGTTGCAAAGGATCGCAATCATCAACTTACACAGAAGAAGATCGATACTAGCGGGTCGGGTTTACGTCTCCACTATACAACTAGCAAACTAAACAATCAGATGATTTTGCAGACCATAAAAAGAAGGGAAGTGTGGTTACAAGTCTTAATCAATGCTTAAAATAAAAAGTGCTCGGAAACCAGGTTGACGTTTTTCGGCGTTAACTGTGCTATAAAAAGAGCGAGGGAACGAGTTACCAGTTCATGTCGCTAGTGTGGAATGAAGGGAAACTTCCGGTTTTCCTGCCAGTGCATACTAAGGAAAAGGAGTTGAAGCCATCCCCTCCCTTCCCCAACTTTTTTTATTACTGCCACATCTTAAGGAAAGGCGTAGGAAGGAGTCTTCACGTTTACCCTTGCGTCTGAAATACGACCAAGGCTGTCTGTCGTCTAAATGGCGGTTCACAACGTCAATTCAAAATCAAGGCGTGCAGTCAGGTGTCTGGAGAGAAGATCAAACATCGGGCCAACACCGATTTCTTCTGGGAATAAGGTTGGGGTGTCGACTAGATAGACGTACGAATCGTCGTCGGTGGAGCGCGAAGACAAACAACCGAAAGAAGGAATAGAGAATTAAAGCGATAAGATACGTAGCGCTAGTAGTGGTCCATTCGGTAGGGAAATTTGGTCAGTCACTGGTGAAAATTAAGAATTTATCCTGGAATCAGAGGCCCTAAAAGCACTACTGTTTTACCACTAGAATTTGCACTGCACGGGAAACCAAGCTAAACACCATTGCGTTCAGTACACATATAGAAAGGCCAGTTAGAGACTGGGAAACTGGCAGATGGAAAAAGGCAACGGCCAGAAATGGTGGAACAGGGATGCCAACACTAAAAGCGCAGAGAAAGTTGGAGACAAGAAGGCGGAGGAGCGGAAAACAGACGTCTAGATTAAAACACAAGTTAGTAGAAAAACGGAGGTAGAACATGGAGAAAACTTAAGAGGGAGGAGAGTGAAAAGGGGGAGGAAAGAGCACCGGAGTCAAGGAGTAAATTTTGACTATGGATTCCCGGAGTTGAGGTTAGCTACCGGTATGCTAGCCCAAACCCGCATGGGAAGCCCTGATTCACGAAAGGAATTCGATACCCGTTTAAAAATCAGCTTTTAGAAGTCAGCACGACTTAAACGTAGGTTAACCACCGTTGGACGTTTGGGTGAAACCTGCAACTCGGCCTGCTACTAGGGTTAACGATTCGTTAAAAGAAAACCTACATACAGTACCCGTGTACCTAGTCGGATGTAAAAACATCTCATTTATGCAAGGCATGCTCCTAATTTAAGTCCGTAGCCAGTTTTTTGACTAGCTGACTCTTCTCGAGAGCAGTAAAATTTGGTTACTTAATCTACAGGCAGAGATATCTCATGCAAAGGATATCCTTTGCATGAGTTTACACGAACAGCGGAACTAAAAGGAACAGAACATCAGCACTTCGTCAGCCGAGTAGCCACGCAGTCAAAAAACGTTTATTTGTTTGATTGTGCAAGAAATATGGTTGACAGTGGGATTAGCTGACTTGTCAAAAACTGACTGAGCGAGAAAACCAACTTATGCGATTACAACGGAGACACCTACGAACGGAGCAAAAACCGATGTACACAAACAATAACAGCACGTCAAACAAACAGGTATAAAACGGAAAAAATCACGAGATGTTGCAGGGGCCAGAACTCAAGGCTTGTTTTTTAAGATTACGATCCATTACTACGGATAGCCTCCGATAGCTATTGTATATACCCGATCGCTGCCTACAGGACAGTGAGCCGGTAACTCAGTGCCTAGGGCGTTAAACTTCCAATCAACAGGTAGCGGGATCTAGTCCCATGTGTCACACACATCGAGGCTGGGTAAGGCTGGCTGACGACGGTTAATAAGTCAGAAATTGGCATCCCAGTGTCCCTTTTTGTCGGGAATGTTGTTCCTACGTGTCTTCGTCATCTATTGCGGTCCACCTATCGCCACGCGCTATTACTGACATCCGCAACTTAGCAGTCTTGATTAGCACCGTTTGTCGTTGTTGGGAATCCTTTTTGGGGCAAATGAACTCGGAATTTTATATACGCTAGTTTCATTTTCGTGTTAGACTCTTTTCGGATGGTTAAGGCTGAAACAGCTGAGCGATGCAATTCACTAAAATATGAGGTGCGTCGTTGGAGTATATCAGTACTCTTGTCCCGTACAGAAAACTCTCTCCTTTGGACGACCTCTATTCTAATCTACAAACAGTTTTATCCTTAACTCATTGCTGATTTCGAGGAACTCGCAAGTTTAACTTCAGACATTCCTTTCTTCCTGAATTTCTCTTTTGGAGACCCGGCCTCTGATATATTATTTGC